CTGTAACATGTTATCAATTTAAAGAATTTGATAGCTAATTAACCTGAAGTTCAGAGCACGTACAATACCATATCAGCAATTAAAAACAGTGCATTATTTTGTAAACTGGTCTCTGTAATTTTAAGCTCCGGCAAGCATTGTTTTATGTAAATCATTCAATTTAAGCAAGGACAGCTTTATACTATAAGCATATATATCCTTAATTAAACATTGGGCAAGTTTTTATCTTGAACTTCAGTACTAATGATACTGGAGAGATTTGTTCATGTATCATATAGCTCAGTAATAAAATCAAGCAAAGTAAATTTTTAATTAATCGGCGACCCATCAGCAAGTGCTTCTCATCATAATTAAAAGTATTTCCCTGTAAAGCAAACGCAAACGTTCGTCATTACATTCTTACATTTTCCATCCGTCTAAGATTTACCATACTTTATAATTAACACCACCTTAAGATGCAAGAATCAAAGCAGCTGTATTCTACAACAGAAACTGACCACCTTTACTATATCAAGCGAGGTGTAGAAGCAAAAGTATGCACTTTTGACTGGATAAGCAATAATACAAACCAGTGCCACCAAAATCTGGTCTTGGTGGGGGTGGAGGAGGAGGAGGAGCACCACCAGGGAAGCTAAAAGAACTAGGGCGGGAAGGAACGCCTGAGGAAATGACACATTTAGTTAGAGCTAGCTATTCAGGTGATGTACATGGGGATTTTGTTAAATATGGTTATACATAGGATGCTTATATCCAGTAACTTATACCTGGTTCAGGAAGTCTATCTATCGGTGATGTAGGTTGTCTATTTGGACCCAAATCATTACGGTTTGTATCAACAGATGGAACAATATCTGGATTTAAAACTCCAGGTGGTTGAGTTGGTTCTCGGGGGTATATATCTGCTGGCCTGGGTGGGATATCGGGATTAATGGGATCAACTGGTTGACTTGGATCTGATGGTATAGGAACCACATCTGGATTAATTCCCTCCGATGGCTGATTGTTATCCCCAGGATAAACATAAGGAGGTCTAGGCATCATATCTGGATTTATTAATTCTGGTGGTTGATTTGGGTCTACTGGGCTTAGATCTGATGGTCGAGGGAAAATACCTGGATTTATAGCATCTGACGGTCGTGACGTATCTGGATATATGTCAGATGGCCTAGGTACCATGCCAGGATTTATATCCGTCTCTGATGGTTGATCAGGATCCCTAGGGTAGATATTTGGCGGCGGAGCCACCATATCTGGATTAATGGCATCCGGTGGTTGAGTTGGATCCATAGGGATTGCGTCTATCGGTGGACGTACTATGTCTGGATTAACATCTTGTGGCATTTGATTTTGATCTACCGGGTATATGTCTGAGGGTGATGGTACTAATCTTGGATCAGTAGGTTCTGGTGGTTGATTTGGATCCCTAGGATATATTTCTGATGGTCCAGATACCATGTCTGGATTAGTTGGATCTGATGTTAGTGTTGGATTGCTAGGGAATTGGTCCGTTGGTGGTATCATTCCTTAACATCAAATATAAAATCAATTCAAACAAATATAAAGATGATTTTTCTTTGTTTTAAAATAACATGTATTAACCATACAAACTACAATCATTTACCAGTGGTATAGTTAAATTTTTAAAGAATGAATATATGCTGTTACCTTACAAAAAGAAATATAAAAACTTCAAAATTCGGAAGATAATATATAAACAGTGTTATTAGCATGTAATTGTTAGTTTGTATTCGCTAAAATAAAACAATTTATAATCGAACCCAAAAATAGGGCCAAAAAATATACTATAAAAAATGCAAAGCAATTTTAGCCGTATAAATGGGGTTGTTTGAAAGGAGCATTAATAAAATAGTTGTAAATATACTTCCACATAATGAACATAATGAACTTCTGCTTAAAAAAATGTTTGAATTATGTTGATGACTAAATCTAAAATAGTGAGGAAAAAGATTTTGAAAAACCCTTTATACGGCAATCACAAAACAAGTTATGCTGTAGAAGTGATTAGGAAACTGTCAGGTTAGGAAACCCTGTTAAGTTAATGTTAAAAAACAAACAGAACCAACTAACCAAGGCACACCATAATTAATGCTGGCTTCTCCAATTCACCTATAGTTTGGTCATTCTTACTTTATTCTAAAAGCATGTACATCAGTAACTTATTACTGAGTAGGTTTTCATCTTAAAGCTCAGCACTACTGATTTAAAGACTGGAAAGCTTTGTCCCGGTAACATATACCACATGTACAGTAGAAAATATCAAGCAAAATATTTTTTTTATATTCAGCGATCTTTTAATAAAGTGCTTCTTGTCGTAAAAAAGGATCTTTCCCTGCAAAACAAACGTTCATTACATTCTAACATTTTCCATTTATAAAAAAAAAATCATACATCAAAACAACCTTACCATGCAAAAATCAAAGCGACTTAATTCTACAGAAGCTGACCACCTTTACTATATAAAGCAAGGAGTTGTAGATCGAAGCAAATGTATAGTCTTGACTGGATATGAAATAATACACATGACTTCCATCTGAAGCTCATAATGGTGGCAGTAGTGGAGGAGGATTATGGAAGCTAAGGGAACAAGGATGGGAAGGAATGCCTGAGGAAATGACACATTTAGTTAGAGCTACCTGGAGTTGTTGAGGTGACATACATGGGAATATTTGTTAATCGGGTTATACATGGGATAACATTATCCAGTCAGTAACTTATACCTGGTTCAGGAAGTCTATCTATAGGCGTAGGCTGTCGGTTTGGGCTTAAATAGTTTTGGTTTGTATCAAGAGACGGATCAATATCCGGATTTAGAGCTCCCGGTTGTTCATATGGTTCTCGGGGATATATATCTTTTGGCCTTGGTGGGATGTCAGGATTAATGGCATCAATTGGCTGACTCGGACCTATAGGTAACACATCTGGTTGTCTAGGTATCATGTCCGGATTTGTAGCATCTGATGGTTGATTTTGATCCCCGGGATAAATGTCTGAAGGTCTGGGTACTACATTTGGATTTATAACATCCTGTGGTTGATTTGGATCTCCAGTATATATGTCTGACGGTGTGGAAACCAAATCTGGATTAATGGCATCCGGTGGTTGATTGTTATCTCCAGGATACACATTAGGAGGTCCAGGCACCATATCTGGATTTATTGATGGTGGTGGTTGAGTTGGATCTACTGGGCTTATATCTGTTGGTCGAGGGAAAATATCTGGATTTGTAGCATCTAAAGGTTGTGACGTATCTGGATATATGTCAGATGGCCTAGGTACCATGTCAGGATTTATGACCTCTGGTAGTTGATTTGGATCCTCAGGAATTATATATGGCGGCGGAGCTACCACATCTGGAATAATGGCCTCTGGTAGTTGAGTCGGATCTACGGGGATTGCATCTATCGGTGGACGTACTATGTCTGGATTAACATCTTGTGGAATTTGATCTCCAGGGTATATGTCTAAAGGTGGTTGTACTAAACCTGGGTTAATAGATTCCTGTGGTTGATTTGATTCCCCAGGGAATATATCTGGCGATGGAGCTACCAAATCTGGATTAATGGCCACTGGTGGTCGAGTTGGATCCACAGGGATTGCTTCTATCGGAGGACGTACCATGTCTGGATTTACATTTTGTGGAATTTGATTTTGATCTCTAGGGTATATGTCTAAAGGTGGTTGTACTAAATCAGGATTTAAAGAATCCGGTGGTTGATTTGATTCCCCAGGGAATATATCTGGCGATGGGGCTACCAAATCTGGATTAATGAACTCAGGTGGTTGAGTTGGATCAACAGGAATTGTGTCTACAGGTGGACGTTCTATGTCTGAATTAACATCTTGAGGAATTTGATTTTGATCTCCAGGGTAAACGACTGACGATGGTTGTACTAAATCTGGATTCACAGAATCCGGTGGTTGATTCGGATCCATGGGATATATTTCCGATGGTCCAGATACTACGTCTGGGTTTGTTGCATCGGGCGTTGGTGTTGGATCGCTTGGCGATTGGTCCATTGGAGGAATAATTCCTTAACGTCAAATGTAAAATCAATTCAAATAAAGGGAATAAAATGTATAATGTTTCAATACAAGAATAACTATCAAATGTTTTTAAAAATGTCAGAAAAGAAACATGTAAAAAGCTTTTCATGTCTTTGTTAGTTTTAATACCGTAAATCTGGAAATTTTTAGTGTAGATAAATTTTTAGCAAATTTGCGCGTGCATTGAATTCGCAAAAATATTTTTCTTAAAAATAAATCGAACATGTGAAGAATTTTTTCTGAGAACTCGTCGGTCTTTTTTTAACTCAGTGAATAGGCGTCGGTAAGCACTGGTCATTTTCAAAAGAAACCTGTTTACACTAGTCTACTATATAACTACAAGTTAATTACCCGTGCGTGTAAATCGCCCTAATTATATGCAATATCGTCCGATGATTTGACAAGCACTGAGGCGGTATGTCCCTTTTTAATTATTTTCATCAATTAAATTGCCAATAAAGAGAGAACTGTCATTTTATCTAAATCAACACGGGTCAAATTCAATTTACTAGGAAGTTCCGAATGTAAACGTGGCGTGTAAATTTTAGGTGAGAAAAAAATAAAACGTTGAGAAAATTAGTTATTTTTTTCTTCATTGGGAATATACCTTAGGTTAAAAGGCATACACAACCTCTAAAATGTTTGTTATAATTGATTTAGAAATTATTTTCAGTGCAAATCCTTTTGCATTTTTATCAAAATTGTTTGGGAGCGATTTTGCAATTTCTTGCCACGTTGTGAGTATATTGGTGGTATTCTAACTGGGCATACTATTTGAAAAATAACCTGATATGAAAATCTTCAGTGATTTTTAATTTTAGCACCAGGGACAATTCGCAAAAATTTGAAGCGATAAAATTAATCAACAGCTTTTTGACTCAAATTCGCAAAAATAAATCGACGTAAAAATTTCCAGATTTACGGTATGTTAAAATAATTTATTATCTAGCTAAAATGCAGGGCACAAAAAAAAAGAAAATTAAAAAAGAAAACACAAAGCAAAGGAAAGCCGTATAAATGAGGTCGTTTAAAAAGAGTATTCATGAATAAGTAAATATAAGTCATTTGGTTTAAAAAAGTTTTAGAATTAATTAAGTTACATACTAAACTTAAAAGAACTAAGAAAGAAGGTATCATTTATACGGCAATCACAGAACAGGTTATGCTGTAGATGTGATTAGGAAACTGTCAGTAACTGAACTTGTTTAGGTTTAAAAACAAACAGAACAAATAAACCAAGGCACACCATAATTAATACTCGCTTCTCTGCATCCACCTATAAAATCATCCTAGCTTAGTTAGAAAGAAACCAGACCCAAATTCACCAGCGTGATTTTCACCTTTGACCTCTAGTCGTGTCGTGTGGGAGGATTCCATTATATCATCGGCGATACATGTATAATCCCCCGAGTCCTCAAGTAATATTGACCGAAATACCATAACAGACTTGTTCTCCATGAAATATATCCGGGGTGTTATGCCATACGGCAAAAACGTTTGTCCATTTTTATTCCATATAATGTCGATGCCAGGGAGGAGGTCTGGTATATCACAGTGAAGTTCGAATCGACTATTTAGAGTCGGGAAAATTGTCTTGATACCTTAGCAATGGGAAAAATGGAACAGAAAGGTCAGACGAATAAAAATGGAGAGACCATAGTAAATGTGATGCTTACTACCATACAAAAATCATAAGATTTGTCATCCTTTCTAAATGTCAAACTTTTCTTCGGAAGCAAAAGTACAATCTCTCCCTTCTGTAAATTGAGTTAGATTTTATAAACCAAACACTTTACTTCCATATAAACGTTAATTATTTTAAAAACTACAATAATATTTTTATTTCTTGGATCTTGCAAGTCTGTTTCAGTGTTTGCCCATCAATAGACTTTAAAAATTCGTATAATAATCTGTATTGCCTTAAAGTTTACAGATTTACTATATCATGGTCTTAATTAAATTATTCTTTTACACATTTGTCAGGGTATTCATATTTAAGAAACAAAGTGTTTATTTTATTGACAACCCGTGCATATGCCTCTTTTACTAAACATAGTAGGTTTTCAGCATTAAACTTTAAAAAAAAATATCATTGATCCGTATTACTTGTCAGCAAACAATAAAATCAAAGATGATAGTACATTGCAAATTCTTTGCAGACCTAAAAGAATCAAATATAAAGTCCATAAAATGTCCTGTAGTCTTAAAAATTCGTTATATCTCTATGTAAATATTTTCCCTACGTGGGCTAGCACTATTAATGACTAAAAGTATTTTTTTTTTTTACAAATAATTAATATTATTATTATTACATTTCTTATAACGTAACGCACAGTCACGATTTCTTTTTATTTGTACGGTTATTCAACTGACCCTTATCTACATCAATTACGTTTACATTGTGTGTTTTGTGCCTCCATCTGCAACCTAGTGAACCAACACTTAAATTTTGGAATCAAAGTCAAATTTGATTTTGCCCAATCGCAGTAAATTTAAAAATTAGATTCTCTATACCTGTAGGCTGAAGGGAATCAGGAGGCAAAGTTTCTGGAATGTCTCGTGGTCTGTTTGGACCGTACACTGCATCTATCCTTTCCATATCTAACAATAACGACAGCGTATTCAAGCTTTAAAGGTACGAATTTGACATTCGTGGGAACAATCTTCTTTTTATCTTTTCGAGCTCGATTCCAGAGTTCTCATTTTTATGGAACATTTATTAAAACACCATGCAAAGATAAGAGACATTTATGAATGAAAATATGATAATGTATCTCTAAAATTTACTAAGTTAACAACCAGTACATTAACTAAATATGATTTTGCTAATAAAATAAAATTAAATGTATACGTGTAGCTGATTTTCAACTGGTTTATGTTGTCGAGTGCAAGATTACATGTTTAAATGAAATTACCTGTTGCATATGGTGTTAATAGGTCTGTGTAGCTTTTTCCTGATCCATCATTCAATCTACATGTGTAGCTACCAGCATCTTCTGGATACACCGTGCTGAACTCTATCTTACGATTGTCATTCAGGAACTGTATTCTGGGGCTAGGAGAATCAAATTGCTGACCATTCTTCTCCCAGAAAACAGGAACTCCTGGTGCTAGGTTTGGAATGTTGCAATAAATCTCTGCTTTGTCGTTAACCAACGGGTTTCTTTCAGGAGGTTGATACGCAACTGATGCCGTTTCTTTAAAAATACATTTAAAATATCAAAACTTATGTTTTCTATATTCATATAATTATTTGTTGAAATGCTCTTTCCCATTTAACGCAGATCATATGAGTGTGCATTTGAATTATGAACGGTAATTTTTGCATCTATAAACTATAACTGCATTTTAACTTTTTCTTAATTTGTTGAAAAAATAAAATGAAAACTGCATAATTACCAGGATTTACGAATCTGACATCTGCAGAAGATGAGGACATCATCCTATCATTAGTAATGCACGTGTATTTTCCATTATCAGCAGGAGAGAAGTCCGGTATGACAAGCACGCGACCATCGTCCTGGTAGAATACTGGAGTCCTTGTTATAGGTTGTCCGTCTTTCAACCAGGTAAACACGGCATTGGGGTTATTTGTTTGAACTCCACATAACAACTCAATAGCTCCTGATTCTAAAGGAAGATCCAACGTTCCTCCTACACGTATATAAACGTAAATGTACAATGATTGGATTAGAGTAAGTTTTAGTACAAAATGAGCTAGAAAAAGAATAAGCTAGTATTCAAAGAGTACAATTAAGTTACCAATATTCAGATTAGGTAATGGCCTATCTAGCTGTGAAAGCAAAAATGTAGGATTTCCATAAACATCTGTCTGTCGAAGAGTATCTGTTAAAAGAGATTTTGATAATATTAAGATAAGCTCACAAACAATACTGAACAATGGTCATAATTAATCAGGTTGTATAGTTATGTCCTCGCATTATGTTATGTTTTATCTGTACAAGTGACCACCCTTACCATCGTCAAAGACATTCACGTCTGTCGTGTATGAGGTTCTTGTCGCATCGTTTGCAATACAGACGTATCTACCGATATCCTCAGGATAAACTGAACTGAACACAATCCTACGGTTCAAGTCGAGGAACTCGACTCTGTTGCTTGGAACGTCATATGGTTGACCATCCTTCGTCCATGTTACGGAAACTCCGGGAGGTAAGTTTGGAATATTGCATACAATTTCTGCCTTTCCTCCACTGAGTGGATTCAAACTTGGGGGAGCATACACAGCCGTTGCTGAGCCTTTACAAAGTAAAGAAATCTTAAGATTATATAAACATATTCAGATTTGTTTATATGTATTATATTTTTTGTCTACATCTGTGATTCACTTCATTTTGATTCCTGACTCAGTAAGCATTTAACGATTTTTTTTCCTGTACATTAAAAGTTCTTTTAAAACGTTTTGTTTTTGATACAAAAATGTAAAATTGATCTTAAAACTCTTTTATTATATATTAACTTAAATAGAGAGCTGTATGATATATTATCATAATATATATTCATTAATATAACAGTAATTTAAATTGAGAGATCGTATCACGTGGAGCCTGTTTGTGGGGTGCGACTTGCTCGTTTTATTGTCCAATGCCTGTCAACTAGGCTTATTGGATGGAGTTATTGTTTTATTAACCAATAAATATATATATATTTAACCTCTTTCCAATTTTTAATAACGATAGTTTGTGTTCTTTAAATCAAACCTGGGTTTTCAAACTGCAGCTTTGTAGTAGAAGAAGACATTGTCCGATCATTAGTCACACAGGTGTACTGCCCTGCATCGGCAGCAGAAAATCCCATCAGGACCAGTATCCTCCCGTTAAACATGTAGTATGTCGGTTGGTTTCTCCTGATTAGTCCACCATCTTTCAACCAGCGAATAACAGCGTTTGGATTATTTGTCTGGATACCACAACGGAGGTATAATCTACCAGCGTCGATTGGTAAAGTCAGGGGTTGGTCTAGAGAAAAAAAAGTTTTATCATAAAAATTCCAACTACTTGCATCATACTTAGTTTTCATTAGGTTAGTCTATCATTTTTATCTTTTTCGTATAAAATTTCAATAAATATGCCTTAAGCAACATTTAGCAATATTTTTACGAACCTTGTGGAATAATACTTTGAGGAGGTGCTAATCCGGGATAGAGAGATGTGGGTTGTTCACCTGTATCGGGGTAAACCCCTGTTGGCTGTTCACCCAATGTATCTGGGTTTATAGCAGTTGGCTGGACAGGAACTGATGTATAAAAGATTTAAAGTGTCACATACAGATAATTAGCACTATATCAATAGAAAACACCGTTAGATTTCATTTTATGTCCGTTTTTGTGAAGCATTATATATTCAATAAACAAAGCCTGGTGTCATTTACAGGTTAATTCAGTTTGATACACCAACTGTTGTTAATTGTTTAAAATTTTACATTCATGTTCTCCATGTCTGTTTTAAAAATAACTTAAGACTAAAAATCTAGCTGATTTTTAATTTTTTTTTTATTTCATCGCACATAAGCCTCGTCAGCTCTGCATATACTCCTTATGCAGTAAATAGTATACAATCAGATAAATATTGATCAAAGGAACGAACAAAAATAGGTCTGGCAACTGATGAAAGCACGATTTGTGTTTGACAGCCGTAGAGTCGATTACTAATTTTTTTCGCTATAATATGTTTAATATATAAAGATTTACGGATATTCGATTTCAGATTTAACTGTGTATTTTTCTTGAAACAACATCTTTTCAAAAATAATAAAGGAGCAGACAACTATTATGACATTGATTGCAACAACCAGAATGCCACCCTTAATTGGTACAAATTCATAGTAATTTTAATACATGTACATTGCTTTATTATCTGCTCTTTAAAGCAGTTAGTATCTGCAAAGTCGAGTTTGAAATGTCTCTTTTAAATTAAATGAAACTATTTTTAAAACTACAATTGTAATTTAAATCAATTATTATAAAAAAAATTACTGTTATTTGGATCCATTGGATCTACAGGGAGTATAGCTTGAGGTGGTTCGGGAGGCAACGTGTCTGGAATCTCAATCACTCGGTTTGGTCCATACACTGCATCTGCCCTCTCCGCATCTACAATCAAATCAATGTATAGAGAGAACGAACAATTTTTAAGGTCAAAAGTTTATTTAACAATACAAAATTGGAGCAGAGCAAACATGGACCTCCAGAACATCAGAGGTGGGATCAGGTGCCATGACCATGAAAGAGTGTGATATTGACGACAGGAATTCAAAACCATCGATTTCTCTATCACTTATTTATTGCACAGAACTTTATCAGCTTATGCAGGGAGATACATGTATTTATTGTTTTGATTGTACATAATGTTAATTACCTGTTGCATATGGTGTTAATAGATCTGTGTAGCTTTCCCCTGATCCATCATTTAATGTACATGTGTAGCTATCAGCATCTTCTGGATATACCGTGCTGAACTCTATCTTATGATTATCATTCAGGAACTGTATTCTTGGGCTAGGAGAGTCAAATGCTTGACCATTCTTCTCCCAGAAGACCGGGACTCCTGGAGCTAAGTTTGGAATGTTGCAATAAATCTCTGCTTTGTCGTTAACCAAGGGGTTCCTCTCAGGAGGTAAATATGCAGCTGATGCTATTTCTGTCAAAAAAGAAATCATATTTACGTAAAATGATTATTGGTTAAAATGTGACTGTTAAATCATGATAATCTTGCTGAAATTAAAAAATGAACAATCTTGTTTTTAATTCATAAGATATATTCATAAGATAAAATACATTGACCTATATATGAACCCTTATCGTTTGCCTATCCTGAGTCTATGGATATGGATTTTAAACTAAAGAAACATATACAACATATTTCCTATCTAGTTTAAGCATGCCTTGTTTTGATTATAAAGTATTTTTCAACCATATCTACACACTGCTCATTTAAACTTCACACTAATTTTAAATAATATCCTTTTCTCTGTAATTCAAAACGTAGTTACGTGTACGTGCCAGGTACCCGTTTCATAATCAAAATGTGCTCCAACAGAAGTAAAAACATATTGTTCCAAAACATACGTATATATGAAAAATAAAGCCACAAATCGATTGATCATGAGGACAATTACTTAAACCATATACATTGTGGATCACATTTCATACCTGGGCTAACGAATCTGACATCTGCAGCCGACGAGGACATCATCCTGTCATTGGTGATGCATGTGTATTTTCCATTATCAGCAGGTGAGAAGTCCGGTATGACAAGCACGCGACCATCGTCCTGGTAGAATACTGGAGTCCTTGTGATAGGCTGTCCGTCTTTCAACCAAGTAAATACGGCATTGGGGTTATTTGTTTGAACTCCACATAACAACTCCATAGCTCCTGATTCTAAAGGAAGATCCAACGTTCCTCCTACACATATAAAAAAAAAAAAGCAAACGTACAATGATTGAACCAATGTATAATAAAAATCAAATGAATAAGTTAGTAGCCAAACAGTAAAATAAAATTACCAATATTCAGATTAGGTAAGGGTCTATCTAACTGTGAAAGCAAAAATGTAGGATTTCCATAAACATCTGTCTGTCGAAGAGTATCTGTTAAAAGAGTTTTAGATAATATTTAGATAAGCTCACAAACAATACTGATTAATGGTCATAATTAATGAGGTTGTATAATTATGTCCTCGCATTATGTTATGTTTTATCTGTATAAGTGACCACCCTTACCATCGTCAAAGACATTCACGTCGGTCGTATATGTGGTTCTTGTCGCATCGTTTGCAATACAGACGTATCTACCGATATCCTCAGGATAAACTGAACTGAACACAATTCTACGGTTCAAATCGAGGAACTCCACTCTGTTGCTTGGAACGTCATATGGTTGACCATCCTTCGTCCATGTTACGGAAACTCCGGGAGGTAAGTTGGGAATATTGCATAAAATTTCTGCCTTTCCTCCAGTGAGTGGATTCAAACTTGGGGGAGCATACACAGCCGTTGCTGAGCCTTTACAAAGTAAAGAAAGACAAAAGTTAGAGAAACATATTCAGATTTTTTTATATTTTACTTTGTGTCTACATCTGTGCTTCATTTATTGTGAATTCATGACGCAGTATACAGTGTGCTTAACGATATTTTTTTCTTTTTCTTGATTATTAAAAGTTCTTCGAGAACATTCTTTTTTAAGATACAAACTGTAAAATTGTCTTTTCAAAACTCTTAAATTATATATAGCACACGATAGAGAGCTGTATGAAAATATAATGATATACAGCTGTATTTATTAAATAAATATACCAGTAGCTTTACTTGTATTACGTTGAGCTTGTTTGTGGGCGAGTTTTGTTCTTTCTAGTGTCTAATGCTTAAACTCGGCATGATTCGGCTAATTGGATCAAGTTACTGTTTTATTAACATATATAAATTAATTTCTTTCCAATTTTGAATAACGATAGTTTGTGTTCTTTAAATCAAACCTGGGTTTTCAAATTGCAGATTTGTTGTGGAAGAAGACATTGTCCTATCATTAGTCACACAGGTGTATTGTCCTGCATCAGAAGCAGAAAATCCATACAGTACTAGTATTCTCCCGTTAAACATGTAGTATGTAGGTTGGTTCCTCCTGATTGGTCGACCGTCTTTCAACCAGCGAATAACAGCGTTTGGATTATTTGTCTGGATACCACAACGGAGGTATAATCTACCAGAGTCGATTGGCAATGAGAGGGGTTGACCTAGTAAAATTTAATCAAATGAAATAAGTTTACATGTATGCATTTACCTCCTTTTCAAGTCTAAATTATCTGAATAATTCTGCACATTCCGTAACTGCTTTCACCAACCTTGAGGAATAATAGTTTGAGGTGGCGTTAATCCTGGGTAGGCAGATGTAGGTTGTTCGCCTTCACCAGGATAAATTGGAACTGGCTGTTCGCCTGCTGGGTCTGGACTGACAAGCACTGGTGGTCTGTCTACTGTGTCTGGATTGATCACTCCGATATCTGGATTAATTCCTACTGGCCGTTCACCCACCATGTCTGGACTAATTCCTACTGGCCGTTCACCAACCATATCTGGACTAATTCCCACTGGCCGATCACCCACCATATCTGGACTTATTCCTATTGGCCGTTCACCCACCATATCTGGATTAATTCCTACTGGCCGATCACCCACCATATCTGGATTTATTCCTATTGGCCGTTCACCCACCATATCTGGACTAATTCCTATTGGCCGTTCGCCTACCATATCTGGATTAATTCCTACTGGCCGTTCACCCACCATGTCTGGATTAATTCCTATTGGACGTTCACCCACTATATCCGGATTAATTCCTGTTGGCTGTTCATTTGTATTTTTGGGCATAGGCTGCTCACCTTTTCAAAATATTAGATATTAAACTAGAAATTATTTTAAATTAATATACAGGTATAAAACGAATAGAAAATGTGCTAAATGGAGATTTGTATGGACAGAAGCAGATTGTGTCAGGCACCATCATTTCAAACCTTTAAAAAATATATTTTCAATTCTCATAAAACGTGTAAACGTGTACTTTTACTAAATTGTCTACATAAAAAAAATCTCTACAGATTCTTTCAATTCAAAATTAGATAGTTATATACGTCAAAATATATTATTTTTTTTAAAGATTCTCCAATTCAAGTCTACGTAAGATAGTAAGATAGATGAGTCTGAACAGAATTTAAAAAAATTAATTTTAAGACAACCCAATTAAAATGTGCACACTTTTGATTTTGGTTTTTATTTTTTTTTTTACAGTTATATCAAAAATAAATGTAAAATAAATAATTGAAAATTTAAAAAAAAATTGGAAAGGAATTCTCTCTGGATAAACAATAATCGGAAAGAACATAAAATATAGTATTTTCGGTTCCACAGATGCGTATTGCTGGTTGTAAACTTTAATTGCCGGTGCCCAGAAGTCTCTTAGTGTTATGTTTTTCACATATACGAATAAATAATAAGTATTCTCAAATAGTTGTACTTGAGGGCGAAACAGAGAAAAAACAACAGCAATAGCTTATAAAAAAGGATAAAATAAAAGGAACAAAAACACACAAACAGATAGTCAGGCAATGGATTCATGAAAATTATCGTTGACAATAAATATAGAAAATATTGATATATTGATGTACACACCACCAATCGTTTGGCCAGCGTCCAACCCTGGTTCTATTAATGGACCATAAACTGATGTTCTTCGTTGTTGATCTGAAAGAAAGTTGAAATTTATCACTGAATTTTCCTTCAAAAATCATTTCCCGTAGTAATATTTTCTGCAGAAAAGTGTACATATGTACCACAAAGTTATTTAAAAGGTCACAGTAAGCTGCAAAACGATTTTGAGCGATGTTTAAATCTTGGACTTTTTTTTTTATCTGTATCTTATTCTCAACTACTAGTATGTGTACCATTAAAATAATATTTTTCTTAAATTTCTAAGTTAATGTTAATGACTATATAACGTTTAATATTGCATTATTTTAGACCTTTTAAATCAAAAACCTGTACGCAAAGGAAAAATGATAGAATGATACAAACCCTGATCAAAAACATAAATTCCAGTGGAGTACGTTGCTAAAGATCCATCATTAGCTGTACACGTGTAGCTGCCAGCATCCTGTGGATACACCTCACTGAACTCAATCTTACGGTTGTTATTAAGGAACTGAATTCTTCCACTGGGGGTATTAAAAGCCTGGCCATCCTTCTCCCAGAACACATCTACCCCAGGCGGAAGATTAGGGATGTTACACCTCAGTACAGCTTTTCCTCCAGTCAGGGGATTCATGTGGGGCTGCTCATATCTAGCCTGGGCTAGGTCTACAATAATATAAAGTAAAATAAAAAATAAAAAAAAACAATTTTCTTCAGTCGTCTGTTTTGGTCTGTTTTCTATATTTATATGACAGAAATAGATATATTATCACATTGATACAAAGAGGAATATGTAAAAAAAAAAAAAAAAAGTGGGGATAAAATTCTATATTGAATTCAATGTCAAATTGAAGAACAACTTTAAGTGTCATGTGAATTAGTAAGATTTTATTCTATATTCAGGAATTTATTAAGAGGACTTAGGTAATGCTTTTTTTTTTAACTTTTATCAACTTTTGAAAATAAACCATTAATATTTACGTGTACCTTAGTTTTTAATTTTAGTCATATATGAAATAGAACGAGTTTATCGTTTATCTATCACATTGCCCTTAAACAGTAAGTAGTTTACTCGAGAATTATGAAAACCAATATCTTTTTGTTCTATATTTATTTAATAATTTTATAATAACGTTTATTCAATTTTTTTAGTTTCCTGTATTCCGCCTACACGAACCTCTTTAGAAATATTCTCCTCAAAATGGATGCTTTGTGAATTATTAATGGAGTATTGAATAAAAAATTAAAAGTGAATTCAATGATAAATTATCACTGTTCAAGTCCTCTCCCATTAAAATTCAAGGAGTTTTTTTGGGGACAATCTGAAATGCAACGAATACTTTTTTTGCCATAATAATTTAAACGTTAATTTTATAAATAAATTATGACAACCGAACAAAACATATAAAATTTTGATATACAGACCAGGTGAAACGTAATTCACTGTTGTTGATGACGATGACATCGTTTCGTCATTAGTGATGCATGTATAATTTCCAATGTCATCAGCTGTGAAGTCTGGAATAACCAACACGCGCCCATCGTCTTTATAGTATACTGGTGACCTGGACAGATATTGTCCGTCCTTTAACCAGACAAAGACAGCATTAGGATTTGATGACTGGGCTGCACATAAGAGCTCTACAACTCCTGACTGAATGGGTAGTTCTAGTGTTCCTCCTATAATATTTGAAAGAAACAAATGCTTCATTTATTAGCAAACTTATGTGAAAAGTAAATTGTATTGAAATTGGCTTGCAAATGGTATAATTACCTATGTTAAGATTGGGTAAAGGTCTATCGTTTTGCGAAAGTAAAAATGTAGGGTTCCCGTAAACACTGGTTTGTCGAAGAGTATCTGGAAAAATCTTTCATGTGTTAAATCATATACATGTAAGTGAAAGAAAAACAAATTTTCTGTACATATTGAAATTGTGAAAATACCAACCATCATTGAAGACTTGAACATTTGTTGAGTACGAGGTCCCAATCTCATCATTTGCTATACAAACATAACTGCCGGCGTCTTCAGGGTATACGGAGCTGAATTCAATCTTACGGTTATTATTGTAAAACTGGACTCTTTCGGTAGGTGTGTCAAATGGCTGTCCGTCTTTTTGCCAGTTTACAGTTACACCTGGTGGTAGATTTGGAATGTTGCAGAATATCTCTGCTTTTTCTCCTATTACGGGATTCATCGATGGTGGATCATATGTTGCAGTTGCAGCCTCTGGTTAATAAACACATACAAATGTATAAATATTATTCAGCTCTAAATTTTATGCTGTAATTGTACAATCAGTGTCATAGTAGCGTTTAAAGTTTGCCACAATCATGCTTCAATTTATTTGAAATTGTCCAGTATATCATCCGAAAGGTGGGTTATTTAGTCACCCAGGATTTACATGTTTATCTTATGAAAAGACAGAAACAAGAATGAATCATATTACCAGGATTTTCGAAGTTTAGTCTGGTTGAAGAAGAAGACATCATGCCATCACCGGCTACACAGGTATACACGCCATTATCAGAATCAGAGAAATCCATTAATACAAGGACCAGACCGTTATACATATAATATGTTGGCTGAGGTCTACGAATTCTGCTACCATCTTTAAACCAACGAACAACAGTGTTATAATCATTTCGGATTCCACAAATAATTTCTACTCGGCCTCCCATCACCGGATATCTCATTGGCATTCCTGAAAATATAAATCTATAACATGCATCCCCACATTACCCCACTGATCAAAAGACATTTTGAAATCTACACTACCCCATGATCCTTCCATTGGCCCCCCCCCAAGAATGATATACAATGTAATAAAAATAAACGACCAAAAATCAAACATTTCACTCACCAAATTGTATCTGTCTCTGGGGACCGTACATCCATTGTCTCAGGAATATGGGGCTTCCTAGTGCACGTTTTCTTTCTAAATCTGTATAAATTAAAAAGTATTTTTTGAACGGTCAAAAAGTGATGAAAGAGCAAGAATACAGCCTCTCTCTCTCTCTCTCTCATTGAAGTGTAAATAAAAACGTCGATTTTATCATTTCCAAATACTGTAAACCAACTTTTATTCGCGTGCGAGAAATTTCTATATAAAACTTTGATTCCCCATTGTGGCCCCGCCCTTCCCCCGGGGGTCATGATTTGAACAATTTAGAATCTACACTATACCAGGATGCTTCCACATGTTTCGACCTACTTTTCTGGCCCGCGAATATATAATCGCCCCGAACCATTTATTTTGCATTGTTTATGTAGAAAATGATTCCTTACCAAGTTTTCAAAATTGGCCCAGTGGTTCTTGAGAAGAAATTGAAAATTAATCGCCGCGTTCTATCCCTCCCCCAAGAATGATTAATTTCAAACATTTCACTCACCAAATTGTATCTGTCTCTGGGGACCGTACATCCATTGTCTCAGGAATATGGGGCTTCCTAGTGCACGTTTTCTTTCTAAATCTGTAGAAATTAAAAAGTATTTGAACGGTCAAAAAGTGATGAAAGAGCACAAGAATACAGCAACTCTCTCTCTCTCTCTCATTAAAGTGTAAATAAAAACGTCCATTTTATCATTTCCAAATAAACAAAGAAAGAAAAAGGGATTAAAAAACACGTCTGGATTGTTTGATCCACAGGTGATATCTGATAGATGTCCAGGAATATATATTTAGGAGAGTGGCAAGTGATCAGAGCTATATTTGCTTTCAAAATAATTGAATTCACGTATTAAAGCTTTATAGTTAGTTTTTAATCTTAAAAGTAAAGACTACCGGTAGGGAAAGCATTGCAATATATATTTAATTAACGTTTGAGGGAGAAATTTAATAGATAGGGTTCTCCGTGATACAACATATTTAAAGATATAGTATTTGAATGTATGAAATATTAACAGAAGATGATTAATTTTATCAAAATCTCATATCAAATCCAATTCACTCACCAGTGTAATATCCGTTTGCATAGACTGACCATCTAAAACCGTTAGCACTACATGAATAACTTCCAATATCTGTTGGTTTAAAAGATTTTATCCATAGGGTTCTAGCATTGTCCAAGAACATGACTCGATCAGGCTCTGGCAATACAGTTTGACCTTCAAATTCCCAGGTTATGACGTCATCAGGCTGTAGTCCCGGGATCCCACAAATCATTTCCATTGCCGAGTTAAACAACGGATACATTTTCATAAGCTTTGTTGTCAAACCGGCTTCAGCTGCAATTCATAAAAATTAGCTTATTACTAAGAATCACCGAATGTCCCAATAAAAAGTACCTGATTTATAGTATGTATTCAAATTTTTTTTTAAAAATGAGGTATAGTTATTCATTAAAGTGACAATAATTGAATATTCAATCACAGCAATTGAAAAATTTGAAATAAAAAATGATTTCTTGATATAGCGTCTATTTGAAAATTAAAATAATAGATTTTCAAAAACATGGTATAAATATTGAGAAAGAATAAATATCGTTACAAACAATCAAGGAATGCATAGAGTACCTGGACTTATGTAAGTAAGTTCTTTTGATGCTGATCGCCAACTTGGGCCCTCAGCGAGACACATATAATTCCCTTCACTTGACGGTCCCCACTGGGATAGAACTAATGTCTGGTAATCATCTTCAAAGGAAACTCCGGGTTCACTGCCGTCTAAAGGTAAGCCGTCTTTGAACCAGGCAATATTTGTGGCACCGTTCGCTGCGTCACACTGAATTCTCACCCTTCCAGAGACGACTTGGATTGTTGCATCAACCGCTAAAGAAGAGTGTATATGAAATTCAGAAATGTGATTTTATCTTCAAAACATTTACAAAAATGTTTATTCATTTAATTTCTTGTTCTGTTATGTTTTCCTTTTCTGTGTTAAATATTTATAAATGTTAATGAATAAATATATATACCTTGTCTACCTCCAAGGAATCCGAAATATCGTTGTCTTGCGGCCTCTGTACAAAACAGGAAAATGTTCGAATGAAAATTCTGCAATTCTCAATATTACTTGGTATGGCTGTGCATATACAAATATCGAATCACTGTAGGCGTTCTTTAATTACATGCCCCACAATTCAATTTTACTTAATTTTACTCATTTTATTTACATATATATTTCAATTTCTTAAATGTACATGCACAAGCTTAGCTATAGCTATTCTTTATCATTACAATCAAAATATGGAATCATTAAGTCGTATGCGTTTTTTCTGACCTAAGCTTAAATATAACCGTGATTTAAATGTTTTTCTTAAATTTAAAATTAAAAATCTGAACTAAAAATTTAAAAAAAATTAATAATTTTTCTAAAATCAAAAGAATGAAGTGATAAGATAATTTTCAACATTTCTATCTCAACTATTTTTTAACGTACCATTAGCGTGAGGCTGTATGAACATTGTCAATGCAGCTATGTTAGGATCATCTGTTGCACACATATATTTCCCCTGATCTCCAATTTTGACAGAGTTAAAAACTAACTTTCGACCACCATCTAAGAAACTTAGACTCGGATTACTTTGTGGATTTAGGGGGACATTTTCTTTGAACCACGTGACCTTTAGATTGGGATTGGTTGACCTTGTATCACACCTGATCTCCAATTGTCTTCCAACGATAGGATTGTATCGTCGAGGTACATATATCACCAGTGCATTTTCTGAAGAAAAAGGATATTCATATGTATATGCATTGAAGAATCTTTGTTTTAGGCAAATTAAGCAACAGCATGTGTGTTTAACCGTTTGATTGGTAACACTATTCAATGTTAGCTTTTTCTAAATCAGGTAGGAACAATAAAAGTTCAGCAATTTAAAAGAATGCTTGTATTATTAAAAATTTCCATGCACAATGAATAAGAATGCAATTCTTTGAAAATTGAAATGGAAAATATTTGTTAAGATAAAATATACAGAAAAGTAAATAAGATGAGCCATTAACGTAAAACTTGAGATTTAAACTGTAAGCAGATCGTTTTGTTACCCATTGGAGGCTCCAAAAATATGTCAGTAGATGCAGCAGACAAGTATTCATTGTTGGCCACACAAGTATACAGTCCACTGTCAGTCGGTCTGAATCCCTCAAATACTATCTTCCTCTTATTGTTGGTGAAATATATAGCTCTGTCAGCTGGGGGGACGAAGAGTTCCCCATCCTTGGCCCAGTATATCTCAGATGTGTCATCATCCAGGAGGCAGTTAATCTCAAAGTATCCTGATCGGATATTTACTTCACTTAACGCATCACCTTTAATAAAAAGTAAAGATAAGTGTCGAATAAAATAATTTTAATTCTCCAAGCACATTTGAATTAAAATATATGAAACAGATAAGCAAAAGCACTTTGAAATGGATAAAATGAACTTTTTTCAATGATTATTATGATTCACTAAATTCTTCAGTTTTAAACTGTTTAAGACAATGTATACGATTACAATTATAAGACCTAGTATTAAAAATGCTAGCAAAACAAAAGTGTAGTCTCCGACCTCTTAACACCTCAATAGGATCTTTCTAAAATCATATTGTCAAAATTTGTAAATTTCCATTTCCATATTTAGATTTCGTCCACAAAAGAAAGAGAAACCCTTAGAGTTTTCCAATCACAGATACATAAACTAGCTTTGATATTCAACTTTTCGAACTTAAAAATGTTGTTCGTTACCTCCATATTTTTCAAAATAAGGAAAACAATTTGTCATCTTTCAAGACTATAAAAAAACAACGACACTTACTTCTTCTAAAAGAACCAGAAGATAATGACATCGAAGTGAGAACTGTTCTGCTCTCATCTGAAATAGAAGAGCGTTTTGCATCTGATTGTTCGTGTAAATGAACTTAAACGTTTTGTATGAGGTATCTGTTTCACATTATATAATTTATTTTTACAATCTTTTATGATTTTCTTATCATGATAATTGATTATAAAAAATAATCTCAAAATATGGAATCCATTCCGTTTATCATAACTTTACGAGAAGGACATTTATTTCAATTAATCAGATAAAATGAAGATTGAATTTGAGTACTTACCGCGCTCATGGACATGAACTACAGTTGATACAGACGTTCTCTGGCGATCATTAGCCTGACACGTGTATGTTCCATTATCCATCAAATCCACTGGATCCAGCACTAATATTTGGTTGTAATTTTCAAACTGGATTTTACCATCAGGAGTCTCCTGGAGAGGGACGCCATTTTTCAGCCAGGTCAGGCGGATGTTTGGGTTAGTTGTCGTAATCTGACAAGTCAATTCAAGTCGGGTTCCCTGAAGCGGGTTTAATGTCTCAGGCTCGTAAACAACTACAGCATTTTCTAAATGATATGAAAAGGAAAAGTGACGAATGATTTTTCTTTGTATAATTGTGTTTGTTTCTTTTAAAAATGGCATTTTTTCAGTGTGCATACATTAACGTAACATCTGTTTCATCAGAAGTCTGAACAAAATTTTACAATACGTTCTATCCTTACTATTATATGTAGCATTCGTAATTTCTAAACGATTCTATTATTGAAAAAAAAAATACTTACAAGAAAACCGTAAGTTCTACAATATGATGAATTTTCAACGTCATTATTTACAATGCATTTTATTTAAAAGAAATAAAGCCTTTACATCTCTTTGCCATACTTACGTGTCCAATCCTTGTTAAAGAACTCTGGAAAAAATTAAGTAAATAAATGACCAATCAAACCAGAGAAAGGAATAGCAAACGTGTATCATAAAAATTGTCATAAATCCAAACCTTTATTCTTTATAAAAAGATCTGTTGTTGCCGAGGCCAGGTACTGGTTGTCAACTATACAGGTATACTGCCCATTATCTTCTGGAGTCACGGACGTAAAAACGATAGTTCTCTTGTTGTTCTTGAAATACACGGGTCTGTTGGAGGGTAGTATAAAGGGAGTTCCGTCTTTCAACCAAGTTATTCCAGCTACACCCGGTGAATTAATTGATATATTACAGTGGATCTCGAAATATCCCGATGTTATTGTCTTCTCTTGTCGTGGGGCTGTGAAAAGTGTACACACCATATATTATAGAGCCACAACGTCTCTTACAAATACTGACACATATTAAAATCCTTACCCTGAATCATCCATGACTGCACTCATTCATTTTTTTTTACTCTTTCTTGTTTTTAAATGTTTTGGGGATATTATGTACTTCTTAAAAGGAATGCAATACTTTTTTCTTAAATTTTCATTTCTATTTAAGTCTTGGAATGAGTAAAACAACCTAAACTTATTAAACGTTTGCTAAAATTATATAATACAGCATGCATTTCTAAAGTGTAAGTGTGTAGTAATGCTTGACTCACCGCTAACCATGCCAGGACCCTGAATCATTTGACCTCCTCCAAGATATTGACCTTGAACCATTTGACCTCCAACAACATTGCCTTGAATGAACTGACCTCCTCCCATGGTTGGGCCTTGAATCATTTGACCTCCCATGGTTTGTCCTTGAATCATTTGACCTCCAATTGTTTGTCCTTGAGTCATTTGACCCCCAACTGTTGGTCCTTGAATCATATGACCCCCAGACATTTGATTTCCGCCCATGAAAAATTGATTTCCAGCTGTTCCAAATAACTGTGTATTTCGGACGTCTTCTGCAAAATCAAGAGAAAAGGAATCTCAATTTAAATAGACATAAGTACACTAAGATTAGCTAGACAGATATATTATTTTCAACTAAAAAAGTAAGAAAAAGCTGCTTTAACTGTACACTCTGTTAATGAAAGCTTAATTAATGAAACTTTGAATAAAACCCAATAGTTTTTCTTTACATTTTAAGGCTTGGTGCGATGGTGATTCAACTGATAAATACAATAGAAATCGTCTTGAGTGCTAAAATGAAACTGGATAAAAGATCTGACCTTGTTTAAAGATTTAAATAATTTAATTAACAATTTCCAGGTGTGTTGAAAAAAAAGAGAACTAATTAGAGGTTATATTAAGAAAATCGTTTATATTTCTAACAAAATCAGTCAGAATTTAGTACTTAATACGAAAGGATAAAATGTAGGATTTTTATTCATTTTGAAGCAGAAACGTTTGGATTTACCAATATAAGTATAATATATGTTGAAATAGTAGAGAAATATCCTCTCTGTACAATTGAGAGCTTTATGTAGGCCGGATATACATTCAAAACTGTTCATGTACAAATAATCCGTCAAGGCTCATTTTCAACAATTAAACAGCAAAATCGTCATTCTGTAACCTCATTTTGAAAAAAATACTCCGTATATAAATTTAATACCTGAAAAAAGCTGTAAAAGTAGTGCATTGCACAAACAGCCCTACAACACTAAAAAAATTCAATTTCTAGACATTGCAAAGATATGTTGATTCAAATTATATACACTGTAGAACGAAACTTCAAACTAAACACTACCGTTAAACTTTACTAACTTTGTTAATTTCTAGGAACGTTCTCTAAAATATTAAGTACATGTATGTTACATGTTCATTCCATTACGTTACATGTTCATTCCATTAGTTTTCTATCAAACTACAAATGGACGACAACAAGTGTAAGCTACTTCTTCTCTAAAGACAAAATGTGATTTTTAAAAGAGAAAAATTTAATATTCTGGTGCAGAAATCTTTGTTGTGCATTTCTACAATAAATACTTACGTCTCCCACCAAAAGCTAAATTCGAATAATACATTACATGGTTCATAACGAAAATACGTATATTTAAAAAATAGATTAATATCAATATAAATCACCAAAAAATTCATTCATATTTTATGAATATTACCATCATGCAGAAATAGTTGAGAAAATATAAGTAACTCAAGCAGTCTATAAAAGTAACGGTAACTTTCGAAAAAAAAAGTTGCAGAAAAAAGAACTTTAAAGTTTACCTTGTGAATGAACATTGACAAAGGTGGAAACTGCCGTTGATTGATCTCCGTTGGCAATACATTTATACTGGCCGTTGTCAGCCTCTGTGACGTTACGTATTAAGACAAGTGTGTTGCCCCGCTCCATGGAGACCCGGTTACTAGGAGTAAGGGGGATACCGTTCTTTGTCCAGCTGAGCCTGACCTCGGTTTCAGTTGAGGTCACATCGCATCGAAGTTCTAACACGCTGCCGACTACGGGATTCTTTTTCTGGGGCATGTATACCACCATTGCGTCATCTGTGATTCAAATTTATATATACCAGATAAATAAAAGCAACATAATCAAGTAGAAACCAATTTAATAGAAAAGGAAATTGTTTATATAAGTAATTGATGTAAGGTTATTTTGTGGGAAAAATGAAAACAAAATAATATACTTGGGTTTTCAATGAAGAGATCTGTAGAAGCGGATGTGACGTAAGGATCATTGACGTGACACGTATACATGCCATTGTCTTCCGGTGACAAGTTTTCAAAAATGATCTTTCTCCTATTGGCAGTAAAATAGACATCACGATTGTTTGGATCAATGTTAAATGGTTGTCCATCTTTTGTCCAACGGATTTCCGATCGGTTATTCGTCACTTGGACATTGCAAGTGATCTCAAAGTACCCAGACCCAACTGGTACACCCTGTAAAGGACCGCCTAAAGGATAAAATAGAGAAATCTTAGTTAGGGTCATCAGACAGTATATTACGTGAATGCATAATGAATAAAACAACACTTACAAAGATAGGAATAAAATACTTCTATACATCTCAACGCACTTTTTAAGCTCACATGGTTTTTCGCACAAATTAAGGTCACATTGTTATGATGTAATATTGTGTATCGAGACAACAAAATACATTTTAAAAGTATTTGTTTACATTATTTGAGTTTTATTTCATTTACTGAAACATAATTCACTCAAATCAATTGGTAGAACTTTGATATATTCATGGCTGAAAAATAACAACTATTCTCATTTGATTTTTTGTGGTTTCTTGCCAATTGCAGCTGTCCTTTTATCCGTTCTTTTGAAAGCAATAGCTCTTGGCAGAAACGTAGACATGGGCACAGTACATCTACAATAACTTGTATTTTCTGTACATTTTGACTCTTTAACTCGGGGTGATAATAGTATTTTTCATCTGTTTGACTGCTTTCTATGTTAATAAGGTGGGTTTTTTCCAGAGTCAACTTCTAAAATCTAGAATCATGAGATTCATCCCACTGCAAAATTTTAACCTTTCAAACCGAAAATGGGAAGAATTTTCTTTTTCATAGAAGGAATTTACTATTAAAAAAAAATAAACAATACTTCATTATCCTACCCTTTATTGTGGTTCTCTACTGCAATGTTGTACCTTTTCGGCACCACATTTCGACAAAACCAAGAAGATTATGGTAAATGAGCAAATTTTTTTTTAAAAAATACTCACCATGAAGAAGAAAATTTAAAATTTACAACTACATGGTATCAAGGAAAGCTCGTTTTACACAATTTGTAAAAACCTATGATAGAATCGTATAGTCGAAACATCTTACCATTTATTTATAAATTCCCCTTTAAAACATCCACTTTGAAAACTTAAGATAATAATTTTAAAAGACATTTATGCTTGACATTACGATATATATGTAATATAACGAAGGGTTATGTCATTGCACTGCAGTTCGAAAATGATAATTTTTATTATAACAATGTGATCTTAATTTGTGCGAAAAACCATGTGAGCTTAAAAAGTTCGTTGAGCTGTATACATAGAAGAGAATGCGTTTTTCTAATGAAGACAAAGTTTAGATTTTTTATCTTATCTAATCCTTTCGCCGGCGTGGCGCGGTGGTTAAAGCATCAGCTCTAGAGTCAAAGAGTAAGGAGATAATCCATATGTCGTGAGTTCGAACCCTCGTTGCTCAATGATCGTAAGTGCCGAATAGAGGGCAACATTTGCAGTGGCGGCGTCTCCATATGAGTGAAAAAAATCTTGAGAGGGACGCAAAACAACAAACAAACTTATCAAATCCTTAGTTTAATTTCAAAGAAAATACTTTCAGTATTATATTTAAGTCTTTTTACGTCACGGTATTTCATATAGAAACATAAACTTAAAATACATTTGGCAGCTTGCTACAGATTCACGTCATTGATTGATTGATTGATTGATTGATTGATTGATTGTATGTTGTTTTACATCCCATTCGATATTTTTTTACTCAAAAAGAGACGTTCACATTATTAGTGTTGTCTGTTGCATTTATTGGTCAGTGTCAGATTAAAATATTTAAAATTATTTGATTAATTCCGGATTTCAACATTTTCAAACATTTTTTTCTTATTTACCGGAAGACAGCATATAAACATTTACTTGACAATTATGACGAATAATCCGTGAGGGGTCTTTTTTGTACCTGCATCTACTTTATCGTTGCTTGTACAAAATGTCCCCAATTACCATTATCTATATTCCTCAGGAAAAAGAATCCATGACTAAATTTGGACTCATTCCTTATTCCATTTAACGCTTTGTGCACTGCGCCACGCTAGCGACAATTCAAGCGCTAATGAACGTCATCATATCATTAACACTGGAATTTGTTAAGCACAACAAAAATACGGATTAAACAAAGAAATTATAGCACAATTGCACTTTTTCTTTAAAAAAAGTTTTTATGTAGTTTAAACCCATTTGAAATGATCTGGCCATAGGGTCAAGAAGCCATTTTAAACCTAAGTTTATTGTCTTAAAATTGATGGAAAAATTTCTCTTTTATGCCATCTTTTAAATAATGTCTGCTTGTGCTTTCCCTTCTCGGGGTAAAATAATGGAGAGGTAGGTAAGTGAGAAAATCTTTTTTCCACAAAATTTCAACATATTTGTTGATGGGAAAAGAAGATTATAAAGAAAATATAACATCGTGTTCTGAAAAGTAGAAAAAAGCTTTGAATAATACCATTATTAGTCAGTCGATCGGGAGAGAGCTACCAAAAATTTTTTTAAAAGATGGCGTATATTATTAATTTTAATTCTTGATGACAGGTAAAAAATACATTTTATGATAAAATAAAAGTTTTATTCAAGTCTAAAACTGCTTCAGGACCCCGAGACTTTATTTATTACAAAAAAATGTGCACGCATGAACAAATTCTGTGTGTCATGATTTCTCGTTTAAGACTGCATGATTTGTGATTAAATTGAATCCGATCATGCAAGAGTGTTTTCTGTGAACGATGTTTGGTCTGTTATAATTCTAGTTTGTATACTTGTACCTTCATTTTGGTCTGCAAGAAAATGATAGAGTGAACATGGTAGAAACCACAAAGGTTTTAATCTTTTCAAAATCAAACGAAAACACAATTAATGCAAAGAATCTGCAAAAGGAGCATGAAATACTAATGCATATAACAGATGAATAAACACAAGCAAAAAAGTTATAGTCCAATCCACACTCCAATAGTTTTGTCCCTTTGCGGGGTAAACAAAAGGTCAAAACGGAAAGAAATGACATTTCTCCTCTCTATGCAACAAAATATGTGGGCGTGCTCCGATAAATTCACTGTGTTTAAATTTTTGTCTTGCGATATATGGGTAGCCTAATCTTGGGGGTCAATTATCATACAAGATGCACATCTTTTTTCCAGTCAGATGACAGTTGTTACAAACTAGAAAACTATTAAGGCTACTGTGAGGATTCTATGGGTTTTTCCCCAAAGGTGGCGACCAAGAGACATCCCCTTTTGAAAAGTCTGGATTCAACTATTGTAACAATCATCAGGTAAATCTTTAATTAACTTTAAAATAAAAAAGAGGCTATAGCCTACTTTTCAATTAAAAGTATAATTTTCTTATATAGCTTATGTCTGACATGCTACCCTGGGCATTTGATATATTAGAAACTTATTTATTTTATACACAGTGACTGTAATTTTATACTTAGATGAATATTTTGATCTGTTTATAAAACATTTAAATTTTTTCATCAGTGTTACACAGTTTATTCTATCTAATAATAAATCAAGGAAAAATCAATAAAGAGATTCAATAAATAAATATATCAATAAATAAACATACTTGATCGCTTAACTATCATTTATTTTAAGATTTCATTAATCCCACACAGCACAAAAAACATTATAGAAGAGACATTATAGAAGAAAAGTAATATGTCTCGATATTAGTACTAGTATTTTTAAAATTTCTCAGTAAAAAAAGAAAAGAAAATTATAGATATTGAAAGATATTTAGAACTATGAAAAAGCTTAACAAGTTTGACATCAGATTGTCACGTCACTTAATATCAAGTGATTGCTCCGTGAATCCTATGACTTGCATAGTACAAGTCTTTGTCAATTTTCACAAAATTTTAGTGTATGGACCTGATTTTTTTTACATACTAATAAACAAAAGATAGGAATTTTATCAGACATAGGTCATACTTCACAGTACATATATAATAGTTTTTTTCCGTAAATCAATAATTATGTACGGGAACTTATCTAACAACCCTCGCATTTTAACGTTTTGAACAAAAAAATTTAAGAAATAAATAAAAATCAGCAAAGCACGATTTTCTTGTGTTAAACATCCATAACAAAATAGACAGGTTGTAGCAAGCACTACAGATATTAAATAGATGTATGATTTTGAATTTTAATAAACCTGAAACAGAGCTATCAAATTTACAGTTCATATAATATATGACTTTTTAAAAACTAATATACTCACTGCTTTCAAATGTTTGCATGTATTGCTGTTGGTTTTTGTTGCTGAAATCTTGACCAAACATCTGCGTAAACTTTTGAGAATCTAAAAGAATTAAATGAGCATAAATTTATTTGCCAAAATGGAATCTTTTTATTTCATTTTTATAAGCACTATTTTTTATAGAGGAAAAATTAAAAAACCCACACTGATAGGAATTTAATCTATTGTGAAATAGTCATTGTAAACAAAAAGATATAAATATTCAAAAAACTGTATTCCTATTTCATATTTATATAGACAAATATACATTTAGGCAATTATAAATAAATATTAATACAGACATATTCTTAATCACAGTTATAATTGATAAAGGAGTTCTTTAAAGTTAACTTCAGCACTTGATAATAAAATGGTCTTTTTTTCATTAACTGTGCATACATGCAGGTACATTATTAATGTCTATAATTATGTCCCATAATCTGAATTAATATTCCCAGGAGTTATCTATAAAAACTTTTATTGCCCTTTGCACTTATTTAGACTTTCTGCACGCAATATCTCTTGTCATTGTCTGTATTATTCAGTACTCGGCGTTTTGAGTACAGGTGAACTGACACAAAGAAATAAAAACTGAATAGACAGCAGCAGAGGACTAACCTAATCAACATTTTTGTCTCACCTTTTCCTTGCACTGTCACTATCATGGCTTTTGGATTCATATATCCGTCACTGCTGCTACATGTATATTTCCCATTGTCAGCCTCATCTACAGAGCTGAATACAAGTATCTTTTTATTGAAGAAAAAATTAATTGTTTGGTCTTCTTTTGGATGAAATGGCGCCCCGTCCTTGAACCAAGTTATCTCTAAGTTTGGATTTGTTGAGGAAATATCACAGAGAAGTTCCAGTCGACCACCAAGGGTGGGGGACAATTGAGTTGGCTCATGCACAATCTTAGCCGTACTACCTGGTAATGCAAAAGTTGCAATTAGATTATGATTCACAGAGTAGAAACCAAATTAAGCCCAGCTTTGATTAATGTTAGAAACAGGTATCTTATAAAATCTAGATATTTATAATAAGTAATATATATCAATGTCTGTTCCTATAATTTTAATTTAATTATTTTGTATTTTAGCCTATCATGTGGTTGAATGAAAAAAAAAACCATTGAAGTACAATCAATATTGATTCTCTAAATTATTATGTGAAATTACCGACCACATTAGCTTTATAGTTACAAAATAAACAAGAGTGAGGACAATATTTTTTTCTTTCCACGACATTTTATTTTTGTTATTAATGGTAAAACTGGATGGAGAACGTTGTTAGAATTTTCAGTACTTTAATTAATCTAGTTCCTGAGTAATAGTTCCTGAAATGAATTTAATATTATGGAGGCACAAAAATATCAACTGCAATAATCTATCCTATGAATACAGCTAAATATGCTTAAATATTTTGGTGTGTTATATGGGACTGAAATTAATACTTGAAGTACTCTTTGCCGATTTGAAATAGCAGTCTACTTGTCTATTTTCATTTTTTTTAAAAATAGTTAAACTAGAGGTATTAAAAAATCGTCTTTTGCCAGAATTTTCTAAAACGGACTTCAAACTATTTGTAATTAAAGAAAACGCCATAAATTGAAATTGAACAATTGTTTTCCTTCATTTCTTTAAAGAATTCAATAGTAGAATAGAATTATATGTCTTGAAAATGAAATTACTTGGAGAATCGATAACCAAATCGTGGGTAGCGGAGGTCTTGAACAGGTTATTAGCGACACACATGTAGTTTCCGTTGTCTTCAGGAGTAATTGATTCGAACACTATCTTCCGTTTGTTGTTAGCAAAGTATATCTTTGGATTGTTTGGCGGCGGTGTCCAAGGTACTCCATCTTTTGTCCACCTGATTTCCATATTAGGATCAGCTGATTTAATTCCACATTCAATCTCGAAAAATCCCCCATTATTTAACTGTACTTCTTCTACTGTACTCTCTGTTTAAAAAAAAAAGAATTTTAAATCATGATTAAGTTTGCTTAATTTGTAAATTTTAAAAAGATTTTTATTGAAGGATTGGTTTTAATGTATATATTGTAATGTTATCATCTCGTTGCAGAACTCATGGGTCTTTTTAGTTCTCGAAAACGACGAAAAAAGCTATGGCATATAATGTTAAAAAGTTCTGAGAAAATTGAACCAAATACTCACGTGGTGGGTTTCTCATCATAAATTGTGAACCACCCGTGTTTTGTGGTGAAAGAAGCATGTTTTGTCCTTGCATGCTTCCTGTACCTAAAAAATACACAATAAATTTAGCAAAAATACAAGTAAATAGACGTTCTCATACAAGTGCATGCAAACATTTCCTAGCATTTCGTTCCTTAAATGGGAATTCACTTCTTTATTGAAAAATTTATATCTTTGATATTTTTAAGGATTGAGAAAAATGAAATAAATTTATCCGATGAATAAATTAAGCTTTTATTAGATAGCCAATGATAAATAACTAGAAACATGCATCTCAATTTATAAAAGCCATGGAATTGCAAACAAGCAGAGGATGACCTCAAGTAATTTTATTTTATATGATTTGGTTAGTACTATTAAATGATTCTAGCTTAAATATTTAACAAATATATGTTACTATTGTTTATATTTATATTTTAAATAAACCGATTTTGACAAGTACGAAACAATCTTCGCATATTCATGCATAATGGAACTTCATATTCGATAAAAGTAGCTGGTTGCTTTACACTTCATCTGAAAAAAATATATCTATCCTCCCCATCCTTGATATTGATAGGAAATATAAGCTGAAACATATGGAAATAGCGAACAGTAAGAACGATAAAATATGTAACAGTAAACATGCATATAACAGGTTTAAAATATGAGGCGATTCGTGATTCGGGATACCAAGGGAAATGGGAAAAAAAGCAGGAAAAACTTTTGTTTAAAACCCAAAACATTTTGTACAATTGTATCATTTAAAAGCAAATTCTAAGAAGTAAACTATTGTTTTCAAGCATAAAACATCGACTGACGAATACTTTGGAAATATTGCAGGGAAGAAAGCTGGGTCAAAGCGTTCAAACAAACCAGAAGACTATACATTTTGGTTGTCTCTCATACTCTTGCTTTAAAGCCGAATTTTGCTTCCAAAACACCAAGGATTGATCTAATTCTACTGAAATATTTGCAGATGAAAATTCACCAGATGGGTCAACTCTGTTCTGCAGATCCATCATGTTTGAGTGATGTGCTTCTGGCGGTGATGCTGTTTGGATTCCACCAGTTTGATCAAAATCGACCATTCCACCAGTCGATGGGATTGGTATATTGGACATCACTGCATCTTGTGGTAGTGGTGGTGGCATCACATTTCTGCTTGCCATCGATTCCATCGATCCACCAATTTTACCAACATCGACACTATGAGCCATTGAAGGAACAGGCATAGTTGGCATCATAGAATGTTGTGGAGGAGGCATCATTTCTGTGTTAACAGAATTCGATACTCTTCCAGATGACAATGTGTTGCCATCAGAGCTAACCTTTGACGACATACCATCACCTATAACTTGATTTGTTCTCTGTGGTTCGGGAAAGTCAAAATTGTCAAAAGCATCCCTTGGGGGTGGAGGAGGCACTTGTCTTTTTTTTCGACCTGACCTAAAAAATGGCTGACCTTGCATTACGCCATGGACCTCATTTGGTGCAAAACGAGGACCCCATTGAGAAGATCCAAAGAAATTTGGCGAACCTATTACCTGTTGAGTTTGGATTGTCTGTTCTCGGTTGTTGCTAAACCCTCGATGTTGGGGATCAGATTGAAAGGCATGTTGTTGCTGTGGAATAAACCACTGTTCCCCTACTTCAGGACTTCTTATCACGCCTTGCGAGGTAAACATTTCAGGTCTGTGTTGCTCTATTATGTTTACAGGCGTGTGCTGAAGCTGCCCATTAGGTAATATTTGCTGATGAAAACTTTCAGACGGAAGTGTGGACTCACGAATGTTTACACTCTGTGGTGTGTTTATCCCAATAGATTCCGCCCTTGTATTTGAAGGTAAATGCATTTCGACGATATGTTCTTGATGATCAGCTCCAGAATTTGGATTAATCCAAACATTATTTTGAGCATGTGGATGAGATATAAACGAGTGTTCTTGTTGTACAGGAGGTATTTGATCTCGATTTTGAAAGACTGAATGAGGGATATTCTGTGGTTGTTCAGGAATCATGGGCAAAATCCTGCCTGGGTGTGCATCAGGAACATTTAGTATGTTGTTTTCATGCCTATTGCGTGTAATTGGCTCTTGAGTCGTGGTTGACCGGTCGTTAGTGACTGGCACTTGCCCATTTCCCTTAGAAACAAAAAAAGTTTTAGTGCTAAAACTGGAACTCCACGCCGATCTATTAGGACCTATCAATTCTTGTCGTTTACTCTTCCTGAAGTGGGAAGTGCCTTTAGCATCCACTGTCATCTGGTCTTTCTCTTCTTTAAAATGTGCAACGTCTGGCCTATGCGTTTCTTCACGATTTGATTTTTTTATTTCCAGCAAGTCAGGTTTCAAAGTCTTTTCATTTTCGGTTTTCTTTATATGTAATCTATTACGACGTACTAATTCTTGTCTTTTTGTGTCCTTTATGCCTGCCATTTCTGGGGTAATTCTTTTCGTCTTTGCTGCTTCACTTATATGAGATCCATCTGCACTCACTACTCTTTGTTGTTCTTTTTCTTCGTACCTTGAACCATCAGGGCTGTAATGTTTATGACTACTTACATCAATTACTTCTCCATTTGGCCCTATCATAGTCTGGACAGGACCTGAGGGTCGTTGTATTTTTCTCTCCACGGTTAACAGAGGACGACCATCCTTATCAAAATTAACTCGTTTATTGGGGACTGAATTTTGTTCAGTTGGCCAATTGATTTGAGACTGAGGGTCAAATGAAATCTGTGTGTTTCCATCTGAGTCTACTTTTTCAATTTTAGAAAGAATTTGACCGTTGGGCCCTGTTATCAAATTCTGAGCAAGACGCTCTCTTTTCCCGTCATTGTTCACCTTTGTGATTGATGTTTTAATTGGTTTACCATCCATCCCTAAAATAGAACCTTCTTCACTTAAAATAACTGGATTTGTTATTTGTACATCGTTGTTTGTTTCTTTTGGTAGTACACTAGGGGTAATTTTGGTTCCCATTTCTAAAGGACTATCCATGCTTTTAGTCCTAACGTTTTCTTTAATGTTGTTATTTTGGGTTTCTGGCTTCACAATTTGCTGTTCTTTATTCTCTGTATGATCAAGCCGATTCAAATGCGAATCAGTGGGGTAAATATCGCTTGATGTCACAGGACCATCGATAGCCCTTTGTGTTACTGCTTCTTGATTACTCTTACTTTCAACGGTCTTATATTCTTCTGGATTTTGATTAAAGCTTTGCAATCCTTGTCGATTTTGATCTTTTATGTTGATCTGATTTTGGTCACGTTTAGAATTATCAACTTCAAGATTGCTGGTAAATGCACGCTGCTCCAGATTAGCTAAGGAATCAGTATTTTGTTTTGGGTTTTGGTTAGAGCTTTGCAATTCTTCTCGATTTTGATCCTGTATACTAATTTGGTTTAGGACACGTTTAGAATTATCAGATTCAAGTTGGTTCGAAAATGCACGCTGCTCCAGGCTCGCCAGTGAATCAGTATTGGTGTTTTCTGGCCAGGAGTTTTGATTTATGACATCATTAACAGCCGGGCTGGCGCTATGGACTGGTCTCTCAGTAGTTGTAGTCTTTGGTCTTTTGGACTTTTCTATTCTTGTGACCTGCTGCAGTCGCTCTATTTTTGGTGTTGGCTCGATGTTTGTGGGTTTTTGCTCAGTAAGAATTGTTCTATCATTTTGCTGAACAAAATTTGTGGAAGGGGTGCTTTGAGAATTTTCTAATTTATACTGAATGTTTCCTTGTTCATCGACCTTTCTTTCACCAGACAACAGTCTATGCTCTAAAAGCCCTTGAGGGTCTACTATCCCTTCTATTCACAAAATAAATAATTAATATCAGACTTATTTAGGATTGGCTCTTACTCTCTGGATAGAAAGAAAGTTATGATGAGGGTACTGTAGACCACATATATACAAGAAATTTTTTTATGTGTTTTGAAAAAAACATGCAATACACTATGTATATCAAATATTAAATTTTCCGTCTTTATCGTGCGGTTGTATCAAATAAAAGTACAGGTACAAAAATTTAATGCCTTCTTTTTAAGGCATAGGTGAGATCTAAATCATTAAAAGATATGTCTATAAATTGAAGAATAATTGTACGGATAAAATTATTATACTTGAGTAGAAGTTTCAAAATCAAACCTGCGTGTGAAGGAACTCCTCCAAACATTACAGGGGATCCTTGGGAGACCATCATTGTGTCTCCTTGTACTGTTGGTCCGTTAAACTCTGCCATCTGAGTTTCTGTTACAGGAGCTGTAAGAGAGGGAAAAAAGAGGATTGATTGATCGTTGATTTTCGTCCCGTTCGAGATATTTCACTCATGTAAAGAGGTGCAAAAAGAATTCTAGTATTTTTACACTAAAATAAAGAAGTTAAGTTTTTATGTTATCTTAAATATGCTTAACTCAAGAAATCTTATATACCTCGAAATTGAGAAGGCAGTCTCCAAACACCTGAGTTGAAAACCATCTGGTTAATTCGTAGGCCCGGATCTTGCTGTGAGCTAAGGAGAACATTCTGCCCTCTTACGGAACCTGATCCTAGTCGAATAAGCCCATTATCCCAATCCAACCAGAATTCACGAAAGTTGTTGCAATCCAAAATGGCACCGGGGCGAGCATCTAGCTGTCCGGTTTCAGAAGGTGGAATTCTATCAAGTGAAGAAAATGGGTTACGAGAACTACCAAGCTCAATACCAAATCCCAGTTTGTCTTGACGCATTAATTCTATGTACGCGTTGTTACAAGATCTTATGCTGAAGGGCAAATACGAGAACTGCTGGGCGGACACTAAGGGACTAAATGGACCTGGTCTCTCCACTTGGAATGTTTCCACTAAAAAAGAATGTTAAGATGAATTACTAGACAAAGAAACTACTTCGATTTAAAAACTCTTTGAAATCAGTAAATTAGTAAAATCAGAAAATTTAAATTTTGATGTCTCAACCATTAACGGTTTATAATTTGCCACGGTCCTTTAAATGGTTTTAGCGATATATTAGGGATCAAATTTCCTGTTTTAAGAACAATGTTTTCTCTTGTTCTGTTTATCATTATCATCTTTTCTGAGTGTACTTTAGACTAAGTTCACTCCAAGTCAAAATGATATAGTCCGGAGAAAACGTAGCATTAGTGTCAAATACCTCATAACGACATTTGGTAATTTATAGTGAAATGCACTCTGAGAAAAATGTTTTTTAGTAAATTGCGAGAAATAAATATGACGGAGATTAGAAATTTTCCCACACACCTTTTCCTTACCGACGCCTTTTTCACTAATAAATCGCTTCGGACATTTTATCATGTATTTAACCCCTTCCCCGCAGTCACGCATTTTAATGCAAATACCCATTTCCTATTTCTAACGCAAAATCACGCACATACCGTTTCCCCGCAATCGCCCATGTTTACGCGATCTAAAAAGTTCATTTATTCTTCAATTTATTACCAAATTCCTTCTTTATTATACTTGCTTAAATCTCATAAAATAAGAAAAGTTATTTTCTTATTAAAATATTACGTCATAATATCATTTACGCTAAACTTTAGAGAAACTTGTACCGCGGTATAAAGTGCCAGCGGGGAAATGGTGAATATTTCTAAGATATGTACATTAAGTGTATGTTGCATAACAATTCAGTACGTTGTAAAGAGATAAACACGTAAAGTGATTCATTTTCAAAATCCATTAGCATATATCTTTGACATGGAAACTCAAAATAAGTTTTATTAGTAAATTTGCAAGAGAAAATACACTGCTTATTACAGTCATTAACTTAGTTGCACGTGACATTTACCTTGACATGCTTCTCCAATATACCCGTTCATACACTGACATCTTGGAGGAACAACACTCCTATTACATGATCCACGTCCGTTACAATTATCCGGACAGCATAATACTGAAAATTAAACAAATCAAAATCTAAAATTAGAACTGAAAAAATGATATCTATATATTTTTAAAAGTTGGTTCTTGTGACATACACCAGATACTTATTACCGAACACGAATCTGAATGAATAAGTAGCAAACATATTTTTTACTTTTAACAGAAGTATCCAAACTTCGCAGACAAAAACAGTATTTAAGCACTTTATTGAAAGCATAAAATATCGTGCTATTTGTTTTCAAAATTTTAATTTAAAATTGATAATAAAGAATCCATTTCATATCATATAAGAATGAACCATTAAATGAAAAAATGAAGATTTAAAACGAAGAATAAAGACCTGAAGCGACGAGAACACAGGCTGCTAAACCTTTAAGCACACAGCTGGCCATTATATCTGCACCACCATGGAGATGAGTACGCTGAAACAGAATACAGAATGCTTGTTAAGCGTGTTTGTTATTTTCGTTGATATAAATGGACAAGATAGAGTAAGACCCTTTTTTGTGCATGGTTTGATGTGTCTTTTAGAATGATGCAACAATTTTTAAATTGAAAACTGCTTATGACCCCTGCCAAAAAAATGAGTATCGGTTCTAAGTTATGGGATACACATAGGACACAGGAAGGTCAGAAAATGTGTCAATTTACGAATTTTCTCATTTTTATGCAAATTTTAATCAATTTTACAGCACATTTTCTTTCAGAAAACATAGAGCACAAGCTCTTGTGTATCTACCAAATTTATATTTTTCATATACTAATATCAGATGTATATTGTTTGTAAAATTCTCAGATAGCAAGCTTGTACGCTGTGTTTTCGGAAATGAAAAGTTTCACAGATTTGACGAAATTCCATCAGAATTAAGGAAATTCGGAAAAAACGTCCTAATTCTGGACACTCTTGTGTAATCTTTGAATAAAAACTAGTGCTGTTTTTAAAACAATTATTAATTTACGAGATTGGCTTCTCAGCTTTCAAGCAGATTTTTGTCGTGACCTCTATTTAAAAAATTCTACAGAATGTTTTAGTTCTTACAAGAAACTTAGATTCTATAATGCTAATTAAACTATATTCAATTTAACTTCCATGATTAAATTTCATACCGTAAAGTGAGGAACTATATTTTGTGGATGAATGTTATTTAGAAGGAAATGATCAATTTTTCTCTTTTACAGTATTTCCAGTGTTGTTAAGTTTGGATTCCTATTTTTACATGCAGCCTGCACACAGAGTAATTTTGTGCAAGGAAATATTATAAGCTAATCCTAAATTATATATTAAATTAATTTTCAGTAATGATTTCATCCTATTTGGCAAATATTTTATATATATCTTTAAAAAAGGCACAATTTAAGCTTAAAATTAGCACTTTTTAGTAATATCTAAAAAATAACATCTCAGACCCACACTTTTTATTTCATTTTATGAATACATAAGATCATTTTAACCACTCTGCTGAAATTCAGAAAAAGCATTACTTTCAAATGATTTTATTGCCTTTAAAATTTTTAACACCAGAAAAATAACATTTTCGAGTGCAGAAAGGTCAAATAATTGACTAAGCAAAGTGCTTTGAAACTATTTTTGTTGTCACAATTTTTAATGTGACTATTTAAGATGAAAAAAGACTGTGTTTGATCCAATAATTCATTTGGATTAAAATATTAACAGAAAAACTTTGAAAATTGATATAAACGTAATTTTAATGCAAAAATGTCAACTTCATTGCTCCGTAGTGTTTAAAGAAGCGCACTGACCCCACTTTTTGTTTTGATATTTTATTAAGCTATGTGTGTAGATTTTAAAAATTTACTTGACAGAAAATTCTTTTGATGACAGGAACCAACCTCCTTAAACTACAAACTATCAAAGTTTTTACTGTGTTCTGATATTTACATCCATTAAGGGGCTAGATTCAGTGGTTACCATACCTTGTCCTTTAATCAATTTGAATTAATATGATAATCATTGCTTTTCAGTTTCAATGTATCATTTTCTTTGATGTCGATAGCATATATATCTTGACAAAACCCTTTCTTATAGCGGATGTAGAAGTAAATTTTCTCTTCCTTTAAAAAAAAGGACTGTTCAGCGTGCAGTGTAGGAAGGGGTTTCTTAAAATAAAAAGTTCTTCAAAAAAGTCCCTGTTTGATTTAAAATAAAACAAAATAAACTTGAATATAATTGTGGATGAATTATAGCCCCCATGACTGATGGTTTGTGATATAGATCGCCGGTTCCAAAAAGACAGAGTATTCCGTCCTGACACCCAGTGTTAACCTTTGTTTGTGGTCTACTGCTCTTTTTTGTACAGAAATGTATTGTTTCTAGCAATAGCACATCATCCATAATACAAGGTTATTGATTAAAGAAGCAAAGTCTAGAATGATTCGCACAGTCAGAAGGTCAGGATCTTAACTTTGAGACCTCCCAATGCAAAAACGTGGTTTGAAATCAATTTTTGTTACGTGATATGTTAAAATTGATATATAATCGTGTGTTTTCCTGAAACAAGGAAGAGAAATTGAATCATAGAATGCTTAAAATGTTAACTGAAAAGCGATAAATGCATCTATTGTTCATATTCTTTACAGTTAAATCTCTCTTTTTAATTTCTAACAGGTCTGTTTTATATATTCACAAAAATTAAAGAGAAAACGTGTATAATCTTATAGCAAGTTTCATTCGATGTTTGAATGCTTCTTGTGCATAATTATGCCTCCAAGACAAACTGGTATCTTTTATTATTTTAAATGAATGTAACACACCCAAAATCTGACGTCTCATATTCATATCACAATTCAAATGAGTTTATATTAATATAACTTAAAACATATACCAATAATTAAAACACAGCTCACATCTATTCTTCTAACAAACATATTAGGAATGTCTTGATAAACATGATCACTAATTATTTTTTATGATGTCCGACACGACCTCATTAAGTGTGATTATTTCTGTTCAGTGGCGAATCTGACGATTTATTTTACAGTCAAATTTAAAAGTACCATTACTTCCTTTTACAAGTATACAGATATTATTTAGGAGATACTATATCAATACTGATGCCGAAATGTCCATGTATTACGTAGATTTTTACTTAAGATTTGCAGCAAAGCAGATAACATCTGACCCCAGGACCATAAACTGAGAAAAGACTTAATGATGGATAATGCAAACTTCTTTTCAAAGATCTTAAAAATAAGTAACATTTAAACCATATTTGAATAAAATGAATAGTTAAAAGGCAGAACTATGAACATTATAGAAAGCTACAATTTCTCTCTATTTTAGAAATGTAATACTCGCATCATAAAAATTTTTTAAATAGGTCAAAAATATTTGTCAATCAAGAAATAAGTATCTTGACAATTATTCAATGAATACATGTGTTTTGAAAATAATTGCACGTTTGTAAAATAGTACAGTAAAAACACATAATGATTTCTTATTTTAAAAATGATTTTAAAAGCGGATGTTTCTTGCCAACAGGGTATGCTTCTCTAACAAAAATTTACTATAGTTTATATAATTGTTTATGAAAGTAATCTATGGTGAATACTGTGATACTCTGATTTTCTCAAATACTTTTAAAAAGATTACAGCCATAATAAATTTCAAATTAAATACCAGTGATTTAATATTATGATTTAAAACGTTTCCCCAAAAATCGTAAACCATAGAAAACTAAAGCTAACTATAGCTCTTTTTGTTAGGGTATCCTTCCTGGGCATCTTAGCCCATCTCTGGAATTCCCAGAGGTCCATTTTTATGCCCTGTTCAGATCTGTATTGAAATCAATGTTCGTTATTTTCTCTCTTCCTCTATGCCTGCCGGTAGGCAGGGGATGCTTTTTCCTCCTCGGCACTGATCCCACCTCTGAAGTTTTAGAGGTCCGTATTGGCTCTGCTCCAGTTTGTATTGTTTAATGGACTTTTGAGCTCGAGTACTGTTCGTTTTCTCCATATATTTCATTTCACACTTTATATCATGTTGGTTTGAAAATTTTGACAAGTATTTTCACAGGTTTATATGATTCTGGGGCCTTCTCATGATTGATTTATCAAATAAGGAAATTTCCTGATTTACTCACGATGTAATTGTTTCCTTCGCAATGTAAACAAATTGTATATTGTAAGAGAAAGGTGGGCGTATATTTTTTAAATGATGATAAAGTACCTTGTTAATAATGTTAATGACGTATTACAAAAAATGTTTTTATATATTACAATGATATACTTGTATCTCATAAACCTTGCAAAACTAGTTCTGACGAAAAAAAGAGCAATTCAACATCCAACTAATTATAGGATTTAATATTTATGTATTAACATTTATGCAGAGTTATTTTTCATAATGTAAAACTGTGATATGATATTGAACTTAAATCTTATAAGCTGAGTTTTCTACTTTTACCTTTAGGGTTATTTTCAGATTACGAAAGGATCTTGTTTTGTATTTAATTTATCGCTTACTAACAACAATGAAAGAATCAACAGTAAAATGCAGCAACAAAACTGACAAAAAATATACGTATATCTGATATGAAGATTGTTCGTTGGAAAATAGTCACCCTATTTAAAAAACTGCTTCATTTCAATTTATCTTTATTTTAGAGTATTAAAGATTTTACCTATCTAAAATTGAATTTTCTCTCATGAATAGGTGTGTACATAAATATGATTTTTATACATTAAAAAAAGATGTTTTGGTCTAGAAAACCTTTTTTTTTTTATCTTGGAAAGGTTACAAAACTGGTAAAAGTTTACGTTATATAAACACGAATCCCACCTAGAGTGCAGTGGGAGTTTTAAAGATATTTCGATGAATAATTTCAATAAATTACTTGCACATATATAAAAAATAATTGAATTAATATTTAATATATAATTTTTTCACTTTTAACATAACGTGAATCGTGATATGAACAAAAGATCGGCACATCAAATTAGACAGTGCTGCGCGACAACAGACCACAATTTGACACAAAAAATTAAGGTTGAATCGCTAATGAACCAGAGATATAAAGGGAGTTGTCACTTTGTCTAAATTGATCTAAATTTACTTTTTATTTTGTAGAATCAAAAGAATTTGAGAAAAATTGATTTTAGAGCTTATAAATTATACATTTTTGTCTAAAGCGCACAAAGGGCTACTGTCGATTATTAAATATTTTTACCTATTTTTTAATTAAAGATATTCGAATTTTGTTAATAAAGTCTTTTCCTTACAAAATGAAATAGGACAGAGATAGTCACCAATGCATACTCGGAGCAAAGAATTCATGTAATCTTGAAACACACGGCCACAGACACTTAATCTAGTCTTTGTTAAGAATTTAAGTTTAAATAAAAGAGAAGGAATCTTGAGTAATTATCCAATTTATGCACACTAACTTTAATTTGTTTTTTATAAACCATTAACACAGAAATGGCGTGTCACAGTCGTTAATTCCCTGATGAACGATGTATGGTGACATTCGTTAAACCCAATCAGTCTCATAATATACCCACTGTATACATAATCATCTAAATAAACACTTTTTATAGTGATAAATCACATCCAATATACCCAATGTATAAATAATCATCGAAATAAATATTATTTATAGTGAAAAATAACGTATCATTTAAAGCTTATCTCTGTTTATATTTCACAAGAAATATATAAACCAAACTAATCTTTCGGTTCTTTTTGATAATTTCTAATTTCAAGACTGTCATCAAAACTAAAAAGAGGGTAGGAATGAGAAACTTTGATGGTTTCTACTTCTTCTGTGTTTATTTGGTGGGTTGAGTCTTTTTAATTAGATTTATAATATCTATCTTAAAAATTAGAACAATGCAAAATATAATATTTAGAAATTGATAATGTCGAGATCTTTTTTAATTATGTGAGAAGACATGAAATCATATAATTCTCCTTTTTTCTGTTAAAATAAAATCTTGTCTTTCCAGATTCTTGTAATACATAACACATTGCTCATTATACTTAACCAAGGTAATTGCAATCAAGCACATTCATACCATTAATTTGACAGGAAAACAAGTCTTTATGTGTCTTAACACATCCTAAATAGTCTCTTCACATTTGTGGTTTACTCACTTGACAAAAGAAACCAACAATTTAACTTCAATTTGTTAAGATAAAAAATAAACATTTCGAGCACATTAATGGACAATTTAATAGAAATCAGTGATATTTTAAAAATTTTACGACTTACCTATTGCTTGTCCTAATTGCACATGTCCTTTCTCTTTTTCTTGCAAACTTTTCGGAAGAAACAAAGACTTTGGTTACTAAGTTGTGATCAATCTAAGAATGACGTTTGATTTATATAACTTGTTATCCCTTTGGAGAATATCAGTTCGTTTGTCAAAGAGCACAGTTGATATATTGCGTATATGAAGTTTCATTCAGTAAAGCGTATAATGTATTAATTCAAGGAATATTAAATGCACACTTAAACCATAGCGTAGGTCAAAGATTATTTACGCAACACTACATTTCTGGCGTGTTACCGGTGAAAATTTTTAGTTGAAATAAATGTGCACATGCGTGAAATAACTCATTTTTTCATCTGCAAATAGATACCAAGAAATATTAATTATACACTGTAGATACGAATAAACATAAACATTTAACTTAAATTGAATTGAATGAGAAATTTATTTTCACATTTCAAATCAAAATAATAGCTTAATTTTACAACAAATCTTACACTTTTAATTACAAGTCTATGTGTCGCTTTTAAAAAAGAAATACGTGTATCTAGATTTATAATGAAAACGTTTTCAAAAAGCTTTAAACGTTCATACCTATAATTAGAGGTTTTTTTTACATCTGATGTCAAAGGTATATAAATACAATTTTTCTTAGAAAAATCTATTCAAAAACCTTTGCATGAGAATGATAAAAAAATTTCTAGCTTTGGCTAACATGAAAGAAGAGTAATGTCAAATAGTAATCAAGTTCAAAAGTCAAACGAAGCAATTCAAATCAGGAGTAAAGAAAAAAAGCCTTTAAAAGCATCACAGATGGGATCAGGTGCCATGGAGGAGTAAGCATCCCCGATCATCGACTAGCTCCTTAGACGGTTCAGTGTATAAAAAAATGGCCTAACAAATGTATGAAAATCGTCAGTCAACATTCGACTTAATAATATATTGTATTTGCTGACAAGGTCATCTTATCGAACATAGAACTTGTTAGATATTGAGTTAAAGCTGTATTGTTGAAAACTTTGTTTTCGATATCGTGGTTAAAAAATCATTGATTTGTGGAGGCTCTCTTGCATATCAAATAAGAGGCATAATATTTGAACTTAATAAAGCCTTAATAAGGCATGAATTTATTCTTTGCCATATACGAATAAAGATTAATGCAAGAAATAAAATATTATTTAGAATTTCATTGGAATATATGTTACGTGAAGTCATGTGATCAACTTCTATAGCAGATTTGATCAAGTAAAAGTACAAATGTCATGTCATATTCCATTGCCACTTCTAAAAAATATTTTATTTCTTAAATATTGCATTTCTTAGGACACAAAGCTTACATCATACATTTTAAAAATTGTTGATGAATAATAGAAAAAAATATAATGATATCGAATCTGTTATATATTCATTACATTGAAAGAACTTGATTCGGTAATAACCAATATTTGCCCCCCAAAACAGACTTTGATGGAGATATGTTTAATTAAGTTCTTAAACAGGGAAGTATATGCTGACTTCAAAGCACTGAATATTTTCATAAGTATTGACGCCATATGTACGTAATGACGTCACGAACATGACGTAAATTTCAGTTTTTTTATGAATTTTATGAAAAATGTACATATTTCGTCGGTATTTTGAGTTAAAGCGCATGTGTGTTCAGGATCAATATTTTGATATAATGTGTAGAATGATAATATCAATGAAATATGAAAATATTGTTCCTGAACAAACTTGCGCTCTATAAATTTTAAAGCTAAGATTGTTGAAATATTGTCCATTTTGTCCTCTTTCTGAAAAAGGATATAAAATCGGACTAGTTTGTGACGTCATAAAAACAAAAATTGTGAATACGCTGCTTTGACACTATGATATTATCTGTTAATTTATATTTCTCATACAATCTATTGAATTCAGCACATTTCAGGAAGTTTTCAAAAGTTGACTTTTGTGGGGGCAAATATATGCAATATACCGCATATAGTTCTTTATTTAAAGAAATATATTCAGTAAAAGGAAAAGAGTTTATTGTTTCGATATTGCAGTAACAATATTAAATATATACATTTGTGGTATCTCTCCATTATATAAACATACAGAGAGAAAATATCTTCAATTCTGTATGAAGTTTGTCAGAGGTCAGAGGTCAATACGTGACCTAATCACACGGCGCAATAATATCTACCGGTACATAAATTATAAAATGACCTGCTCTACTTGCTTTTCAATAATGTATGAAAATGAATAAAATAAGCAAGTAAAATGATAATTATTTTATAAATGTACAGTATTTCATACAAGATTAATGCAAGAAAATAAAATATTATCTCTAACGTTCATCCTTATTTTTTGGATAGACCTTTGGTTAAATTTTCATGATAAACTTTTATTTTATCTTTAAAATATATGTGTACTGTTGGAAAATATCTTTGCAATCATGCAGATGAACAGCTGCCAAACACCTCGGCGTTTTCTTAGTTCAATGTATGGTAAAGCTGTCGCCAGTGTCTCCGTGTTTATCAGTGTTTTAAAAGTATGCCTTTAGTTTCTGAATGTTTTTGATCAAATTGCAAATTAATACTCGGACAAGTTCCATTGCCACGAAATTCTCCAACTTTTTAAAACTTATCAGCATCGATTATCATTTTTAAATAAAATTGCATTCTGTTTCTATTAGGACACAAAGCTTACATCATACATGTTATATATTCATTACATTGAAATTTATTTAAAGAAATATATTCAGTAAAAGGAAAAGAGTTTATTGTTTCGATATTGCAGTAACAATATTAATTACTTCGTATATAGAAGACAAAATAAACTTCAAACAATTTTTCATGATTAGATTTGAGATAATCAAAAACGTTTATGTTTCAAGTTACTTAGTATAATGAATTATTTGACCTTTCTGTACTCTTTTTTTCTGGCATCAGAAATTTAGCAAATTATTTAATTATTTCAAAGTCTTAAACTTTGACTGAATTTAAGCTGAATGATAAAAGTTTTTTTTTTTTGTTAAATACTCAGAAATGCACAGAATATCGGAGTCTATGATATTAATTCTAGATAATATTGAAAAATGATATTTTCAAGTTTAAAATTACTTGGTATTTCATAGACTTTCAGAAAACATTTGCTCTCTTTGTCACAATATGATGATGAATTCGTAAAGTTGAATTAAATATAATATTTTTGGGTCATTTTAAAATATTTCACAGCTCAAAATAACTCCCCATGCAGCATGCACTGAAAGAAAAGGAATTGAACCTATTTAGAACTGTATAAACTTAAAAAAAAATTCTTCCCTAGAAAACCCTGCGCCGAAAGATACAGTTTCTTGCATGTACTTCTTATAGAATTTGATTTTTTAAAGTAAGTGAAGCTTCATACGATAAAGTAATTGTCCTATGCCAAGGGTAATATAAATGAACATCAACATCTTCGTGCTATTTGAATGTTGCAGTCTGGGATGCCCCAGAACATAGTTGCACGGTAATTTGGTGTACACACTGTTCAGTCATTAAGGAGACGTTTCCATACGGCGACTCTTTCGATCAACCACGTTCAGTACAATCCCATGTGACATCGATTTTACAATCATGTTAGAGTCATGCACCGAATTTATTTTCAGACAGCAAGTTTGACTGCTCGTAGTATCCGCAATCTTAGGCACATAAGTGAAAGAACTGTTCGCCATTGCTTGCGCGAGCATAACTTTAGATTTAGACGCCCTGTGATACGTCCAATATTGTTCCAACGTACGTCTTCGAATTACAAAATTAGCATGATATCGCAGACATATAAGGAACCGATTCCAAGACTGTGCATATGTTTGTTCAAAGATGAATTAGAATTTCATTTGGAGAGCTGTGACGGTCGACGAGCAATAAATTTCATCATTACTTTGAAAATCAATTTTGGTGTCAGAAAATACTGTTTACTTGAAAAGACGAAGTCAAAACGGAAAACATGGGAATCAAGCAAACACTGCAGTCTGCCATTGGCTTTCAATCCATTGCACAACGATTTTTGCAAACTAAAATATACTATTTTTAGTGAGAACTTTGTAAAAGTTCACATTCAGATTTATGACCACATAAAAAGGAGATTATGTTAATTATTAGCCTTGATATAATGTAACATGATATAACATAACAATATCGCACTTTAAAATTGAACGATTCAAATATGAGTTTTCTGTACCACGGTATGATTAATGTACACTAATTTTATGGCAGTACATTGATTAACCTTTTTGAATATAGCCTTTATCCGCCACAGACGGTAAGGTAAATTTGTTCCCCATATCACGAAGAGAGTAATACTTTGACCCCAAAAGAACTATTTTCAACTTACTTTGAATAGAACTTCAGTACATGTACGTACATGTAATTGTTTCTGTAGCTTATCCAATTTATTGTCGTCCCCCATCCTTCAGGTTATATTTCTTCAGATGGACCCAAAAATTACTAGCTTTGTACGTACATCTTCTTTTCATGTCAATCCATCCGCAGATTTGCAAAATGGTTTTTAAATGAACAATCTTAAGAGAAATAAAAAGAAGTTAAGAAAAACTTTGTTTAGGAGCTTCTTCATTTAAGGTTGCAAACGATTTCTTCCATACCATAGAGGTAGTTTTTAAGTGCAGTTTTTGAATAATTGAGCTCACCGATTTTAATTACATTTTAGCACAATTTTCATTTTAGTTTTCTTATTTTTCTTATCGTCTTCCAACAATCTATTGGAAGTCCCATGGGTACCAATTGCGCTCCGTTATTAGCAGACTTATTTTTGCATTCATATGAAGCAGAATTTATGCAAAATCTTATGCGTGAAAAGAAGAAAACACTTGCTGTGGCCTTCAACTCGACATTTAGATATATCGACGACGTATTGTCAATTAACAAAGGTAATTTCCATTCCTATGTCGATACGATATATCCTGGTGAGCTTGAGATAAAAGATACCACAGAGTCTGATATATCTGTTTCATACTTGGGTATTTTACTTGAAAAAGACACTAATGGTAATCTAACAACCAAGCTCTATGATAAACGTGATGACTTTAACTTTTCTATCGTCAACTTCCCTTACCTATGCAGCAATATATATATACCTTCATCACCTGCATACGGAGTTTTCATATCTAAGTTGATTCGATACGCTAGAGCATGCTCT